GTGTACCCTCATCCACAGCCATGGAGACCTGAGCTCAGCCTTCTCCTCTCTTCTAGCCGTTCAGCTGGTGTGCCCCTTTAATGACTGGGACAAAGGATGGCATAATATACGGCAGACCCCTTGTGTACCCTCATCCACAGCCATGGAGACCTGAGCTCAGCCTTCTCCTCTCTTCTAGCCGTTCAGCTGGTGTGCCCCTTTAATGACTGGGACAAAGGATGGCATAATATACGGCAGACCCCCTGTGTACCCTCATCCACAGCCATGGAGACCTGAGCTCAGCCTTCTCCTCTCTTCTAGCCGTTCAGCTGGTGTGCCCCTTTAATGACTGGGACAAAGGATGGCATAATATACGGCAGACCCCCTGTGTACCCTCATCCACAGCCATGGAGACCTGAGCTCAGAGTTCCTGCTGTAATCCTGCCATAAATTCTTGTATAAAGCAGACATGTCCGTCCTTTGCTGCCACAGCGGCTCCCCCAGATTTTGATTCCACACACATAAAAAGACTTTTATTGTCGAAAGCTGGTAATCACTGCATTGAGGGGGGGGGGGGGGGTACATCTCCTTTCAGCTATCGGACTCCAAATGAAATTCACAGAAGCCAATCTCTCCTTGCAGAGAAGAGCTGAAGAACACAAAAGACAAAGCTATGGTGACCCGGAGGAGAGGAGTAAAACAATCAGAGTGAATCAGCTGAGAGACGGCTTAATAGGACCGCGGTCACCGCGACTGATAAACCGACACGACACCCGCCAAGAGGAACATGTACTTTGTGATGTTTTGCGGCTCTATTTCCATCTACTGGATGAGGACAAAAAAAAAAAAAAAAAAAAGAATTAAAGGTAAGCCAAGACAAAGCGAGAAACCAGGGTGAGAAACCTCTGAGTGAAGCTGTCATGGCTCTCCGTCTAAGCATGCGACCCGAATCAGAGAGCACATGTGCACCCCTTGATGCGTGGCCCCGGGGTCATGGCAGGGCTGTCACCCACTGACACTGGCACAACGGACTTGTAAATGGGTCACACACAGACTTCTACTATTGTCCCTATAAACAGAGCTCACATGGATCTCTACCATCGTCCTTCTAAATACAGCTTGGGCAGACCTTTATTGCTGTCCTTGTAAACAAAGCTTAGATGGACCACTACAATTATCCTTACATAAACGAAGCTCACATGGACCTATACCATTATCCTTAATAAACAAAGCTCAGATGGACCTATACCAATATCTTTATAAACGAAGCTCCAATTAACCCATACCATTATCCTTATATAAACGAAGCTCCAATGGACCCATACCATTATCCTTATATAAACGAAGCTCCAATGGACCTCTACCATTATCCTTATAAACAAAAGCTCAGACAGACCGCTAATTGTCCCTATAACCAAAGCTCAGATGGACCTCTACTATTATCCTTATATAAATGAAGCTCCAATGGACCCCTACCATTATCCTTATAAATGAAGCTCAGATGAAAGCATACCATTATCCTTATAAACAAAGCTCAGACAGACCACTAATTGTCCTTATGAACAAAGCTCAGATGGACCTCTACTATTATCCTTATATAAATGAAGCTCCAATGAACCCATAGCATTATCCTTATAAATGAAGCTCAGATGGACCCATACCATTATCCTTATAAACAAAGCTCAGATGGACCCATGCCATTATCCTTATATAAACGAAGTTCAGATGGACCCATACCATTATCCTTATAAACGAAGCTCAGATGGACCCATACCATTATCCTTATATAAGCGAAGCTCAGATGGACCCATACCATTATCCTTATATAAATGAAGCTCAGATGGACCCATACCATTATCCTTATAAACAAAGCTCAGATGGACCCATGCCATTATCCTTATATAAACGAAGTTCAGATGGACCCATACCATTATCCTTATAAACGAAGCTCAGATGGACCCATACCATTATCCTTATATAAGCGAAGCTCAGATGGACCCATACCATTATCCTTATATAAATGAAGCTCAGATGGACCCATACCATTATGCTTATATAAATGAAGCTCAGATGGACCCATACCATTATCCTTATAAACGAAGCTCAGATGGACCCATACCATTATCCTTATATAAACAAAGCTCAGGTGGACCCATACCATTAACCTTATTATAAACAAAGCTCCAATGGACCCATAACATTATCCTTATAATCGAAGCTCAGATGGACCCATGCCATTATCCTTATAAACAAAGCTCAATGGACCCATACCATTATCCTTACATAAACGAAGCTCAGATGGACCCATACCATTATCCTTATAAACGAAGCTCCAATTGACCCATACCATTATCCTTATATAAACGAAACTCAGATGGACCCATACCATTATCCTTATATAAACAAAGCTCAGATGGACCCATACCATTATCCTTACATAAACGAAGCTCAGATGGACCCATACCATTATCCTTATAAACGAAGCTCCAATTGACCCATACCATTATCCTTATATAAACGAAGCTCAGATGGACCCATACCATTATCCTTATATAAACAAAGCTCAGATGGACATCTACCATTATCCTAACATAAACGAAGCTCAGATGGACCCATACCAATATCCTTATAAACGAAGCTCCAATTGACCCATACCATTATCCTTATATAAACGAAGCTCAGATGGACCCATGCCATTATCCTTATAAACAAAGCTCAGATGAACCCATACCATTATGCTTATATAAATGAAGCTCAGATGGACCCATACCATTATCCTTATAAACGAAGCTCAGATGGACCCATACCATTATCCTTATATAAACAAAGCTCAGATGGACATCTACCATTATCCTTATATAAACAAAGCTCAGATGGACCCATACCATTATCCTTATATAAACAAAGCTCAGATGGACCCATACCATTATCCTTATATAAACAAAGCTCAGATGGACCCATACCATTATCCTTATAAACAAAGCTCAGATGGACCCATACCATTATCCTTATATAAACGAAGCTCAGATGGACCTCTACCATTATCCAATCCCAACTCCAGCCCAAGCTTTGTTTAGAATAGTGTTGGGGAAAAGTTGGAAGTGTCTGTGCTCCTATTTGGGAGATTTCCTACAGCACACAAAAAACAATCTGATGTACATTTTGGGGTTTAATTACACAACATTCATCCAAGTGTCTTTTGCTTTGACTGGGGATTGTGTGTAAACAAAGGCATCTACAGATTTCAGGAAGTCAGACTCTGAAATATTATGTCAGTGTCAACCTTCAACACAGCAGCCATGTGACCGTTTTGTTTCTGATGCGCAGACCGCACACATGCGGCGTTTCCCAGACAGAACAAGTCGGCACACAACGGTTGTCTCAGATCCTGCCAGATCCCCTTGTCCTAAGGAGACGAAAACTTGGTCCCTCTCCAGCTTGGAGACTCTCGGTGAGGAGGCACTTGCCCGACGCATTGTCGCCGCGACACCGCTAGCGCGTCCTGGAGGGCGTGTTTAGCAGGTTTAATTTGTGTGTAGAGACAAAACAATACAATGGAAGATGCAGAGGAAAACCTCGCAATAATGCTCTATAATTATGTTATTCAGGGTATTACAAGCTGCTCGCCGCTTCATTCCGGAGAACAAAGGCCGCTCTCGGCGTGAGGAGCAGCGAGGAGAGGGTTTAGTGAAACAGATCAGGCGGAGGCTTACAGATAAGGGCCCGCTGTCACCAATTCCGCTCGGCGCACAAGATGGAATACAAAACGGACCACTGCCGGAGGACAGGTGGTGCCTGCTGCAAAGGACGGGAGATCATGGGCCCCCATGGCTGGGCAGAGATCATGGGCCCCCATCGCTGGGCAGGAGATAATGAGGCCTCCATCGCTGGGCAGGAGATAATGGGCCCCTATCGCTGGGCAGGAGATAACGAGGCCTCCATCGCTGGGCAGGAGATCATGGGCCTCCATCGCTGGGCAGGAGATAACAGGACCCCAACGCTGCGCAGGAGATCATGGGCCTCCATCGCTGAGCAGGAGATAACAGGGCCCCCATCGCTGGGCAGGAGATAATGGGCCCCTATCACTGCGCAGGAGATAACAGGGGCCCCCATCGCTGCGCAGGAGATAATGGGCCCCCATCGCTGGGGAAGGAGATAACGGGCCCCCATCGCTGGGCAGGAGATCATGGGCCCCCATCGCTGGGCAGGAGATAACGAGGCCTCCATCACTGGGCAGGAGATAACGAGGCCTCCATCACTGGGCAGGAGATAACAGGACCCCCATCACTGCGCAGGAGATAATGGGCCCCTATCGCTGGGGCAGGGGATAACGAGGCCTCCATCGCTGGGCAGGAGATAACGAGGCCTCCATTGCTGGGCAGGAGATAACAGGGCCCCCATTGCTGCGCAGCAGATAATGGGCCCCTATCACTGGGGCAGGAAATAACAGGGCCCCCATCGCTGGCCAGGAAATAACGGGCACCATCGCTGCGCAGGAGATAACTGGGGCCCCCATCATTGGGCGAGGAGATAACTGGGGAACCATCGCTGGTCCAGGAGATAACTGGGGCCCCATTGCTGGGCCAGGAGATAACGGGGCCCCCATCGCTGCACAGGAGATAACAGGGCCCCCATCGCTGAGCAGGAGATAACAGGTCCCCCATCACTGGGCAGGAGGTAACGGGGCCCCCAGCGATGGGCAGGAGATAATGGAACCCTTCTCTAGCCAGGAGATACTGTGTCCCCCTTGCTGGGCAGGAGATGGGCCCCATCGCTGGGCAGGAGATAATGGGCCCCATCGCTGGGCAGGATAAAATGGGCCCCCTCGCTGGGCAGATTCTGATAAAATGGGCCCCCTGGGCCCCCCTCGCTGAGCAGGATAAAATGGGCCCCCTCGCTGGGCAGGATAAAATGGGCCCCCTCGCTGGGCAGGATAAAAGGATGGGCCCCCTTCACTGGGCAGCAGATAATGGGCCCCCTATGCTCATTATGAGTGAGGGACATTTCATGCAGAGGGGACCTCCACCAGTCTCCGCTCAGTATCCTCCATCCCTTTCTGCCAATCCCTCCACTGGCCTCCATTCAGTGTCCTCCCAAACCCCCCTCTCTGCCAATCCCTCCACTGGCCTCCACTCAGTGTCCTCACACCCCTCTCTGCAAATCCCTCCACTGACCTCCACTCAGTGTCCTCCATCCCTCTCTGCCAATCCCTCTACCAGCCTCCACTCAGTGTCCTCCACCCCTCTCTGCCAATCCCTCTACTGGCCTCCATTCAGTGTCCTCCACCCCTCTCTGGCCTCCATTCAGTGTCCTCCATCCCTCTCTGCCAATCCCTCCACTAGCCTCCATTCAGTGTCCTCCACCCCTCTCTGCCAATCCCTCCACCAGCCTCCATGCTCAGTGTCCTCCATCCCTTTCTGCCAATCCCTCCACTAGCCTCCACTCAGTGTCCTCCACCCCTCTCTTCCAATCCTTCCACTGGCCTCCACTCAGTGTCCTCCATCCCTCTCTGCCAATCACTCCACTGGCCTCCACTCAGTGTCCTGCACTCTTCTCTACCAATTCCTCCACTAGTATCCATTCAGTGTCCTCCACCCCTCTCTGCCAATCCCTCCACTGACCTCCATTCAGTGTCCTCCACCCCTCTCTGCCAATCACTCCACCAGCCTCCACTCAGTGTCCTCCACCAGCCTCCACTCAGTGTCCTGCACTCTTCTCTACCAATCCCTCCACTGGCTTCCATTCAGTGTCCTCCACCCCTCTCTGCCATATCCTCTACCAGCGTCTGCTCAGTGTCCTCCACCCCTCTCTGCCATTTCCTCTACCAGCGTCTGCTCAGTGTCCTCCACCCCTCTCTTTCAATCCCTCCACTGGCTTCTGCTCACCCAACAAATAATGTTCAAAATACTAAAAGCAACATACAAATTCATCCACAACTCTGCCTTCAGCTACGTCACCAACTTTGTCACAACACATCACCCAAACCGTCCTCTCCGCTCCTCCCAAGATCTCCTGCTCTACAGATCCTTCGTCACCTCTTCCCACGCTCACCTCGAGGACCTTTCCAGAACCTCTCCCATCCCCTGGAACTCCCTATCCCAATCTTTGCTGCTATCTCCTACTCTATCTGCCTTTAGGGGATCCCTGAAACTCATCTGTTTAGGAAAGCCAGCAGTGGTGTATTTAGGTTCTGTGCTGCCATAGGCAACACAAAAATTGCCTGCCCCCCCCCACGGACACCGACCAACACTCCTTCCCCCCACCTGGGAGAGCCTTCCACTGCCCCCCCTGGTGATAGAGAGAAAGACACTCAGCTTCACAGCTCCAGACATCCAGAGAACGAGAGTCAGGCTCTACATAGACCATCAACCCGCAGCCTCTCTCTGATCCCACCTGGTTCCCATGGCTCGTATGTCCCTTCTTTCATCCCTTCTTCTGGGGGGAGGTGCTGCCCTCCTGAAAAATGCCGCCCTAGGCAAGTGCCTTGTTTGCCTTGTGGTAAATACACCCCTGAAAGCCTGTCCTAATTTTTACTTTCTCCATCCACACAGTTATTACTTTTTGTATCTCTCGCCTTTCCCTTTAGATTGTAAACTCTTATGAGCAGGGCCTCTCCCAACACTTTTGTCTTGAATTTTATTGCAACTGTGCTGTCTGCATTTATATTGCAAGGCGTTGTGCAAACTGCAGGCGCCATATAAATCCTGTATAATAATAATAATATATTGTCAAATGAAGTCAAAGTTTGCAGAGCCAGAACATCTCCAACCAAGATCACAGCCTGGCCGTCAACACAGAGCTAAGCCCATGGTCAATGTTGACCTCAACCGAACGCCAGATACGCCAAGAAGAGGCCGCCTGCCGACAGCAGCGCCGGGGGCAATGCTGAAAGTACAAGTTGGAATCAATGGAAACTTACTGTCCGCCTGTGTCAGGGTGATAGAGCAGCAGAGGAGCAGCGCCAGGACGATGAGCAGGGTCTGGCGAGGGTAAGGCACCATGTTGGAAAGCAGACTCTACTCCAGGTCTGGTGATAAGTGGTCAATACATCCAGCGTGTTTTAGAGAGTCAGACTCACTCCTGAAAAAGGGGGAAAGAAAACAGCCGGTTGAGAATGTGATCGCAGGAAGACAAATATACAATCTATCAACAAAAACAACATTCAATACGGTTTGAGAGATTTGCAAACCTGTAATGAGCCCTCGCTGCCTGAAAATCAATTTTAATATTGAACACGAATTGGTGAATGTGAGAGACTGTGAACTTGCTTAACCACTTCCACCAGTCCGGACACTTTCCCCCCCCCCAATCTTTTCCAGTCCGGACACTTTCCCCCCCTTCCAGTCCAGACACTTTCCCCCCCCTTCCAGTCGGACACTTTCCCCCCCCCCCCTTCCAGTCCGGACACTTTCACCCCCCTTCCAGTCCGGACACTTTCCCCCCCCTTCCAGTCCGGACACTTTCCCTCCCCCCCGCTTCCAGTCCAGACACTTTCCCCCCCCTTCCAGTCCGGGCACACTTTCCCCCCCTTCCAGTCCGGACACTTTCACCCCCTTCCATCCGGACACTTTCCCCCCCTTCCAGTCCGGACACTTTCCCCCCCCCCTTCCAGTCCGGACACTTTCCCCCCCTTCCAGTCTGGACACTTTCACCCCCTTCCAGTCTGGACACTTTACCCCCTTCCAGTCCGGACACTTTCACCCCACTTCCAGTCCGGACACTTTCCCCCCTTCCAGTCCGGACACTTTTCCCCCCCCCTTCCAGTCCGGACACTTTCACCCCCTTCCAGTCCGGACACTTTCACCCCCTTCCAGTCCGGACACTTTCACCCCCTTTCCCCCTTCCCCCCCTTCCAGTCCGGACACTTTCCCCCCCTTCCAGTCCGGACACTTTCCCCCCCTGCCCTGTCCAGTCCGGCACACTTTCCCCCCCTTCCAGTCCGGACATTTTCACACCCCCTTCCTGTCCGGACACTTTCACCCCCTTCCAGTCCGGACACTTTCCCCCCCTTCCAGTCCGGACACTTCACCCCCCTTCCAGTCCGGACAACTTCCCCCCCCTTCCAGTCCGGACACTTTCCCCCTTCCTGTCCAGTCCCGGACACTTTCCCCCCCTTCCAGTCGGGACACTTTCCCCCCTTCCAGTCCGGACACTTTCCCCCCCTTCCAGTCGGACACTTTCCCCCCTTCCAGTCCCGACACCACAAATCCCCCCCCCCCTCCAGTCCGGACCACTTTCACCCCCTTCCAGTCCGGACACTTTCCCCCCTTCCAGTCGGACACTTTCCCCCCTTCCAGTCCGGACACTTTCACCCCCTTCCAGTCCGGTACACTTTCACCCCCTTCCAGTCGGACACTTTCACCCCCTTCCTGTCAGGGCAATTTTCAGCTTTCAGTGCTATCACACTTTGAATGACAATGCGCGGTCATGCAAACACTGTACCCATATGAATTTTTTAGCATTTTTTAGATTTTTGCTATATAAAATGAAAAAGTCCCAAACATTTTGGAAAAAAAAGTGTTTTTTATATAAACTGTTGCAAATAAATAATCTTTCTTCATAAATCTTGGCAAAAATGTAGTCATCTATCTTTTTAGTAACAAAAAAAAAAAAAATAACCCAAATTAGTCTGTAACCAAAAATCATTTTTTAAAAATAAAATTTTACTTTTTTTTTAAAATTTATGTTTTTTTTAACATACCGTCACCCTAGCAGTACAGTACCATGGTAACCACTGTACTACTTGTGGGGGTGATGAAGATTTTTTCTTTCTTTTTGTACACATGATTGCTTTTTACACACCATAAAGACTGTAAAAAACAATTATTTCTATTTCTCTCTGGCTGCATTCCTGTGTGAGCTGTGATTGGTCACAGCTTGTCACATCGGTACAGGGCTGTTGGGACTAGCCCTGTACCATGTGATCTCTGTGATCATTCACAGATTCCATAAGTAGTAAAAGCAATGATGTCAGGAAGTGACACCTTTGCTTATTACTATTCATGTGATCACCGACTGGCCAATCAGGGATCATATTATCGGGACCGCACACAGAGGTCCAGCGATCGGTGTTCTGCTGTGTCCAGAGGAGCTCAGCAGGCGCCAGATCGCGGTGCTTCTCGCTCCCAGGGAGCGCGCACAGGCAGTGAATGCGGGGGCCATTTATAAACAGCGATCCCTCTTCGGCACGGCTCCGTTCGGCCCATGTACATAAACAGACGGACGGGAGCAGTGCTGAAGCGGGGTCGCAGTTTATGTGGTTAAAGCTGAACTCCCAGATGAAAGACATATATTGATGCCAAAGGATTTGTATTTCTGACAACCAGTCCTGAGATTTACACAGCCCTTGCCACACAGGATAGCCTGGTCTGGCAGGGCAGGAGACCATATTTTTCTTTGCGGTAGTTTAGTAACACCTACAGGTTCTTGTCTCTTCCTCCAGCCTGTGACTGGACAGTGAAAGGAGAAGCAGCAGACTTCTAAAATAAGGCCTTTTTCAAAATGGTCGTTAGCACAATTATCATGATTAGCGGGGGGGGGGGGGGGTTAGCAACCAGAGAAGGCAAAATAAAAGCAGATTAAACTTCATCTTAGAAACAAAAAAGCCCGCACTTCATCCAATGCTGCCATTTTATTTTCTTGTTCCTCCCAAAATCTGCTAGAATGACGACCCCACCGGTCAGCCCTGTGCGCATTAGCTGCGGGTCAGACATTATGAAATGTCCCCGTATAAACCTGATGCTGCCTGACATTCATTCACACGCCAATTATCCGCCACCTTCCTGCGCCAATCTGTTCCCCTTGAACTCCGCCCCCTCTCCTTCCATCAAGCTGTCAATCAACCCTCACCTGCCATCTCCTAAATACTATGCAGGCTTCAATCTTCTCTACAATTACGCTTCCATTAGGATCGGCAGCACGAGGTCACCGCGAAGAGCGGCCAGCACAATCCCAGGCGCCAAAACCGTAAGTGTAGCAAGAGCAGGCTGGAACGAGAGGTTCTCAATCTACATCGTTCGATTGGATAATCAGCAGCGAATCGACTTGGAGATATTGAGACTAAAGTCTGAATGTTACATAGGCGTGCCAACAAGGGGTTAAAGAAAAGAAAAAAAAAGAAGAAGAAAAGGAGTAGACAATGGACTAAAACCAGACAATCCAAAATCTTGTAATGATAGAATGGCTTAAATAATCCATCTCTTTCTTCAGTAAGACCAACCATTTGTGCCAACTGTCCAGGATTGGCTGGGACAGTCCCGCATTTTTGTCCTCTGTCCCGGGCCATGTCCTCGGATCACAGCATAGTAATTCAAAAACGCATTAAGGTGGGGCGATTCTTGCATATTTAAGAGCAGGGGCGGACTGACCATTTGGAAACTCGGGCACTGCCCGAGGGCCCCGGGGTCAGTAGGGGGCCCTATGAGATGCCCCTGGTACCATTTTCATAGGCTTTTTTGAGTTTGGGCAAGGACACAGGGGCCCCATGATCCCCTATTGCCTGGGGGCCCCATGAGTTGTCAGTCCGTCCCTGTTTAAGAGGGTATAGGTGGGGCCAAAACCATAAAATGGGCCTGATTTTGGTGTAACCACTCAAAACTGGGCGGACAAAATGCAGACTGTGGGCAGGGTTAACGGGGCCCCCAGACCATCGTATCCAACAGTATGACCCCAAAGACCACCTCCAAGATATAGAGAGCTGTGATGGTCCCGGATACGAGGCGGGAGCTGGAACCATCAATAGAAGAAGATAGAAGACGATGAGGCTGGAGCTGTTCCGGCCCCCCCCCAGGCTGGGAGAAGCATATGCTGTACTGTCATTGACCCCCCTACAAGATCCAGGGAAGGAACAGAAGGAGAACATTATTAATGAGGAAGCCGTGCCATCTATTATTC